AAGGAGCATTGTATTTCCGCCAAGTGACAGTGGACTGAGATTCAGCATCAAGGAAAAAGCGCTCTATCCTGCAAGATACCACGTCACAGAAGTGGAGGACATCAGGCTTAGGAAACGGGCCAGGGTTAACTAAACTTATTAGAGACATTCATCCATTCGCAAGGTACCGCGTCCAATTTGGGAATTTTTCTTACGCTTTGTTTTTAAGGCCATATTTAAACGAAAACAGATATTTCAACAAAAATTTTTTGCGTGCACTAGAAATTATGCTTGTTTACAATAACCATCGTCCGTTAAATTTAATTACAGCATCAATTCTGAGCCTAAACCCCTCGCTAATAATTTTCAAAGTCTTTCTTCTTTAATCGGTAAATAACTTTTTAACCGCATGACTGCGTCAGGCAATACTGGTAGACGTAAGCTCACTAAAGCGTCGCCCAAATACGCTACACACAAAAAAATCCAACGGGATCAATATTTGCGCTGAAAATGGCTTCTATTACTAAAATAGGCTCATAATTGCCAAATAGTTGCAAAAGGGGCATAAAAAATCTTAAAAGGGCTAACCATTAAAGCTTATATGGGTTCTCAAGAGATATTTTCGTCGCTAAATCAGTCATTGTTATTTCTGTATAAAAAAATCCAGGTATAAACAAATTGTTTCTTAAGTCATTTTTATGAACTCTCATGCCCTTTAAATCTAAATCTCAGCGAAAATTGTTCGGTTAGCATTGCGAAAATCCTCATTAGACTTCCAAAAGCTGCGTGAGAACTGGCCACACCGTAGATGGTCAATTTTAGGCAAGGACGTCTTTTAATTTTAGTGGGGGGCGCGTCCAGTATTGGTGCTTACTCAGTTTTCGGAAGAGAGGCACTGTTCATAATGGCGAGTTTTTCATCTTATTCCAAGAAAAAAACTGGGTTTTGTTTGGTTTGGGAAGTGTAACGCAAACAGTCCATCATAGTTTTTTTCACACTGAATGCTCTGCGCTTTGTATGTAACAGCTACGATAAAGAGGCCTACGGTGACGTATATTGCAGCTTGACGCCTTGGCCCCACCAGTGAGTCTCACCTGGAGAAGTGTCAATGGAAACCACCCAGTGCTTCCTTTAGTGTTTTTCAACCCTAAAGACCTTCCACTGAATGTTTATTCAGACTACTTGAATTACGTATAGAGTTGCTAGGCAAAGTGTCAAAAGGTATCTGTAAATTTGCAAATTCAAATAAATGTGTTACTTAGATCTCATAAAAGTGTTTACAAAATTGAGTCAACGAGATGCTGCAAGAGGATGAAGAATCCGTTTACCGTGTAACTGTTATTCCAATAACAATAGCACAATCATTGAGCCTTTCTAAACGACTTCTTGAATTTGAGAAATGTTTACCTGTTATGTGGTCACATGAGCGAAAGATAGAAAGATTGTAGTTCTAATGACTTTGTATCAATGCTTCTAATAAAATAGGATTTTGTTACTAAGCTGCATAGGGCCAAACAGTCAACTGCCTGTAATATTAATAACAGTATCACCAGAAAACAGACATTGATTTAAAGTTAAAACGCATTAATTATGGAAAACCAATCAAGATCGAAAAATCGTAGAAATAAGCCTTGTTAATGCCAACACAGTTTTGAAGGCCGGTGTGAAAATATCACATTTTAGTAGCACAAACACCTTTCAACGGTACTTGCCTTGCGCTAAAGTTGACCTATTTTTAGGGCGGGCATTGCTCACACTTCAGTGTCCCCCCACAACCCCTTCTGGGCAAAGTTAGTACACAACAGGGCCGCTCAGAAGTGGTAAGAGGTGAGGCCTATGGTGGTAATGACCTTATATGGGACCGTCCATGTTTTTTCCATCTCTTCTATTGGGCGGAAATGTCATCAAACAAACAGGCGCGTGAGGCAGGTTTTAGGTAGTTGTACCGAACTCGGTGAAGCTCGAGCATTTAACCTGGATGGAAGTGCTGCCGCTTTCATGGCCGCAATCACCATCTGCAACAGGAGACTCTGCGAGTAAGAAACTGAGCGGCAGGTCAGATTAGGTCAGAAAAGGTTTGCCGGAATGAGAAAAAAGCGCTTCTTTCCCGCTACGTTTTTCGTTCAGCCTCGTTGGCTCTGATCGTTTATAGTAGCGATAAACTTATAGCAGAAAATTCGGTTGCCATCGCTGACTCTTCGATGCGGAATGTTAACTGAATGAAGCAAAACCTGTACGGAGGGACAGAGCAGTCCAAGGTAGTCTGAACTAGTACCTAATCAAAGCAGTAGCAAAGGACTTAAAACTCCAGACTATGCTTGGCGGAATATCAACATTATTATAGCGCTCCGAAAAAAAGACCGTGAAATAGAATAGTTACTGGGAGTTAGATAAGACAATATTAGATGGATTGATGCAGTAAAGGGTTACACCAAAATCGACTAACGCTTTCCTTTATATCAGATATTGTTATAGACATGCCTGTCTGTAATAACTTGTCGTAACTAACGCTTTCCTTTATATCAGATATTGTTATAGACATGCCTGTCTGTAATAACTTGTCGTAACTATTAACTTCAATGATCTATTAGCGTTTTTCTTATGTTTCGAACGCGATTTACCATAATCATTTCTTAAGCCTCGCTTTTAAGTTGATTTCTTTAAGAGCGAGCCCTTCGGCAAGTTCACGTAATCACGTATTTGTGTTTTAGCAGCATTACACCAAATCGTAGTTGGTGCTAACGAGCAATATCGCTGTTTGCGGTTGCTTCTAAGAATTAAAAATTAGCAATCTACTAAAGGTATTTTGACCTTAAGTTCCCGTATGAAAGAAGAACGGATATAAAACCAAACGTCACTGTTCTTTTTGTAAACTGACCCTCGACTGTCCCTTTTATGGCGACGCTGTAATAGAATACGCTTCAACGAAACGTCCAATCCCACTCTGTCCGTCTTGTCCTGAGAGACCGTAGTCGTGAGCCTGACCCTAGATGAAGTTAATGCTTTCCCTAAACTGTACAAGTAGCGCAACGCGCTCTATTTATCTCTAAATGCTCTGTGACCAAAAAGGCAATGGTGACATCTGAAGGGTGCAATAAGAACAGTAGTTGTGCCGGATCTTTGTCTTACAGCGAGTCAGTGAATCTTAAGGGTGGTCTTGCTGCTTCTCCGGAAGTGAACAGGTACCTTGTAGGGTAAAGCGAGAGGAACTCTAGCGAACAGACTAATCTATTTGTTATAGCCTTTCGGGTCGCTAACAGCCGGAACCCACCGTAACTACTCGGGCTACGTACCGAGCTTCTATAAAGGCAGTGTCGGCATCCCTATCCACTGATTTTGCACCTATAACTAAAGATAACCTAGTTGTTGTCACCCATAGGGGCAAACAACGAAAGTTAATAGAATTGCAACAGCGGCGGTAAAAGTCAATGTAGGTAGGTAACGGCTGCTTGTGCGGCAGATGTAGATAGCGGACATAAGCGAGGTTCTGAATGAAGCCACAGCGTTGTATGGCAGAAGGGTGGTTAATGAAAAGCCCGCGTTTTGTTCGTGTTGTCTTTAATAAATGAAAAAAAGCAACCGATTCAATGAAGGAATTCGATTATATATGATAACGCATGAAACTAAATAAATAGACCATTGAGTAAATCGTCCTTATGTCAGTATTTAACCAGGCCGCATGGCCTTTCTCCGTGGTTAGCTGTGAAAATTTCTGAAATACTCGCATTAAAACAATTTTATTTTAAACTATCGTCAGTGAGTAAAGTAGAAGAATAAGACGTCAGTCTATAACTAAGGAAAGATAAACTTCAGGAAGAACAGGTTTGCACTTGAAGCGGATTTCCTCAAGGGTAGCTTCACTTTTACCAACCGTAAACGCTAGTAGAGTTTATCTCCCTCGCATTTTACCGTGCAAGCTCTTTCAAATCCCTAGATACATGGTTGGGATTTGTTTTTCATAGGATATAGTAAGATTAGAAGCCACTACTTAAACTATGTATCGTCTAGACTATTATCCATACTCCCGGAGAACATCTGCTTCTGTGAATGATGATGCATTCCTCTTTAGTCTCTACATACATGCTATAATTTCATAAGTTCAGTCCGGAGTCTGCGAAAGCCATCGTCAGACCATTTAGCATACCCCGGCTAAGCCCAATATTCCAAACAAAGGAACAGTTATTTGTTGAGGGGTCGCTATTGTATTGAAAAGGCCCTTTCACAACTGACAGGTTTCCCCTCACGCTCTCTATTTAAGGCTGGGCAACACGATAGCGAGGTTTCGACGGTTTAAACCAAGTAGATACATATGCACTAGTCGCCGTATACCACAAGCACGTATCCTCTCCCGACTAGTATTACTAGCACTATGGTCAAACAGCAGGTCTTGGCTTGCTAACTAGTTAGCGTCTTTTCAAAATTCACATAATGCTACCCTGTGGACGACAGTGCTGACAATCTGAATTAGGGTCTGTTAATACAATGGCTACAATGCGCACGTCGTATATGGTATATTCATGCCTGCGACGACCGACAATAGTCGGCAATGGTAACTCACAAAAGGTGATGTCAGTCAGCCGCTGCCAATGATCATTGTCGTAATCGCAAACCAATCTGCGGCCAGGGTGGGGTAAAATGCGTTCGCGGCATAAAACTTATTCGAAGCTGTGCTTAAAGCTGAAGAGAAAACGTGCAAAAAAAACATAGAAAGAGAAAAATAATTTCACTCAAAGACGTGTCTCTTGCTAGTGAACGTATTTTTAGGTTAGGCATGCCCGAAAGGACTGAGAGAGAGACGTTGACGTTACCCATTTGGGAGGATTTGATGGGGCTTATAGACGTATTTAAGTACTGTTTAATCATGTACGTATCATGTGATGTTACGCTGGCGGTACTATACAAGAATATGCTTACCTAGTCGAAGAAGGTGGTTAATATAAAAATAATAGTAGTTTTAACTTAAACATGATTCACTCTGTAAAATTAAAAACAACGAATTTTAAGTACCTATTTGCTATAGAGTGCTTTTTGACGCAACAACATATGAGCTGTTTCAGGGTCATTTGGTGCAATAATAAGTGACAGCAATCTGACGAATCTGTCCCACTTCAACCTCTATACTTCTAACACTTCCAAGTATACTTCAAACTTTAGGTTCGCGCCATAAAATCGACTTTGGCAAAAATCGGTTGGTACGTAAAAGCATTCCATTGACCTTATTTGAGCACAATCTCGCAAAAAAAGCTTAAAAGTAGGGGTAATATAGGCTCATATGTTTTCCAACGTTTTCCACTATAAATGTATATGAAAGCTGATAGTATATAATAACTAATAAGGGAAGGCACCTGGCCTTTCGCTCCAGTATCAATGTCGCTCCAAGGGTATCAATAGTGGTAATATCAGAAGTCCCTTATATATATAATTTTCCTAAGCCATCAGTTCCAGAATCTCCTAAATTTCTAATAAAGTAGTTAGCCAGAAAAACGTTGCCTCGCCGTAATGAAGTTCTTCATCCTTAAGCTTGCACCTCAAACCGTACAGCATTTTTGTTAACTGTACAGACGGCAAATGCTGCCTTACACTATTTCTGTAACAACTACCCTGCTCCTCTCGCCCATCAAAAGCGGTCGTGGGGCAGGATATACATTGCTAATATCCATTCCCACTGGTTTGTTTCCCTTCTTATGCATAGTAGATAGTCAATCTTTTTTACGCCCCTCTAAAAGGATGCCCGCCAGAAGAACTACATCGGATCGGTGCGTGAGGAATGTCAGAGTATCATGAACATGCGGGATGCTTGTCACTGCATGTGGCGTCTGAACGCCTCATCTTTCTCCTACTTTTCTTCTTCCACGCTTCGTATAAGCGAAGTTATGGCCAAGACCGGCTGGGCCGGGGCGGACTGGGCTGGTCAAGAACTTCCAGCTCAGGCTTTGCATGTCTGTCAGAACGATACGCGTGTATCGCGAGAGCGTCGACATCTTTTTATTTCCGTTTCCGTCCTCTCTCGATCGTCTGCTGCTGCAGTATGTCCCCCTCGTTATCGGCATTACTTGCGTTGCTCTGACCGAATGAGCAGAGCGTAGTGCAGTGCTCCGCGCTCCTATTCCTGTCTCTCTTTGGATGCTTAGGAAAAGTGTGTCGCGATAGACTGTCTGGTTTTTTCGCTGTGTAACCTCCATGTCGTCGTTGAGTGTCGTGATAAAATTCTCTCCCGTCGGGCTCACATCGGGGTGGACCATCGGCGAGCCGAAGCCGCAATCTCCCTTACAGCCGGTACTGTCTTCCGCTACGGTGATGGCTGCAGGCGGCAACGTCGGCTGCTGTTCACGCAGCGGGTAATTTATCCCCGGCATGTTCCTTTCGGCGAATGAAGAGCAAAGGCTTTCGTGGGCAGACGTAACAGAAGCAGGACCTAGAAAGAAGGGCGCGCTGTATTGAGGACTGAGGTGGAACAGGATTGGAGCCGCGCTTCATACTGAGCGCTGAGCTCTAGTTGGTCGGAAAACTAGAAAAGCGGGAAGTTTGAAAAAGCGACGGATTGAGAAAAGAAGCAGAAATTGAGGAAGAAGTGGAGTACATTCTCCGTGAAGCTGGGAGAGTAAAAGGCCGCAAAAAAGGGCAAAAAACTCGCACTCTGGAAAACTGCGTAGATTATGAGGATAAAAGTAGAAACTCTAAAGGTCATTTCGCAAAAAAGAAGCAGGGAGTTCAAAGTTCGGAAAAAACGTCGCCATCGTTGTCGTTGGAGTCTGTATGGTACTAGCGGAACTTTTCCGTGTAGAGGAATGGCTCCTGCTGTATGACTATCTGTTGAGAGCAGTCGGTCGTCGCACAATGGTTCAAGTGCCTAAAGCAGGCATTCGAATCAGTCAACGAGCGTTGCCCTGTATGAACACTATTGGCCCTGCTATGAACACTTACTTCCAGACAAAGGAAAAGCTCGGTGAAAAATTAAGATCTTTTTTGAGCCAGATTCCCTCAGTAGGAGATTTTCTGCTAGCTGACAATCGCTAGGGGCTCAATTTAGCGAGTGGTTTAGCATGTCCTACTTGTGAGTGTGTTGGTCGTCCTTTTGTAAATTGTTTTTTTGTTTTCCATTATAACTAGCTTGCGCCGTATCTCACGACGATAGGTGCCACAGAAATTGGCCCCGATACAAACGGAAGCTACTGCTCGTAGCGCCGCCTTAAGTCGCTTTATTTTTCATCGCTTTTTTAGTCTTGTGTCACACAGAATCATTTCCACACAACAGGCGACGGCCTGAATGATCTCTGAAGCTAAGCCCTAGTATATCTGAAGGTAAGGGGTTCAAGATTTATATTTTTTGTGTGGATGTTTTAAACAACGTATTGGAATAAGACGGGTAACTGTGCATACTGTTTAGGAGAAAGTGTCAAGGTGATATAAAACCGATTCTTAATGTTACCCGTTAAGCGATTAAAGCAAACCCGCGAATCTACACACATTCGTTCATACTGCTACCCAATGATCTTTTGTTCCAGTAAATTTTGCCCCTTATCACCGTCACACTCACCATCACCGTCATGTACTACATCTTTCGCTCTTTCTGCAACACAAGACCATTAAATGAGACGACGAATCCCGCAAGAGGGACCTTGGTAAGACAGTTCGGATTTTTTTTCCCAATATCTTGGTTCCGCTCGTCCGAGCATATCGTATGATAGCTAGACGTGCTACAGCGGTCCGTCGATCTCAGCCAGGCAGTATGTGTATCCTTCGCTCACCTGAGGATAACGATGGCCGGTGAAAAAAAATGCAACCAAGATTTTGCCTAGTAAAGGCGTAAATATTTAACAGCGCTTATTTCTTGGTCTAGCGCTGTTATGTCCTCTGTCGCTAAGCTGAGGCCGCTAGAAGCGTCAATCTTATACCCGACGGACGTCAGTAGGACGGGCTGGCGTAGGATTAAGGCTAGGAATGACCAAAGAAGAAAGACTGTTGCCTGAAGAAAGACTAAGAAAAGCTTATAAGAGAAACAGCTAAAAGAGTAGCTGTTGATAGAGGATGTTGAGTGGTAAAAATTTTGGCCAAATGCTTATTTTTCACGAACTAGTCCTATATGTTTTCGGCCTGTGATCAATTAGTTAAAGCAGCAAATATTGAATATAACGGGTTTAATCAGGGTTATTTCTGGGTTTTATCTACTCGACCCACTTACACAAAAAAGCTTTCAACCGTTTAACAGTTAGCTAAATTGTAAAATAACTGCTAAGGAATTACGTATTCTCTTGGTCGTCATAAAAACTTTGTAAACACCTATTGAAACCACAAACAAATTGTTGACCTTTGAACTGCAACTAAATGTTAAATCGCCACGACATACCATGGGCGTAATGCCTGAATAACTTTGTTGTTGTTCTGTATAGTAACACGCGCGCTATAGGTGAGATATTTGTTATTTTTACATCTGAAAAAAAGTCATCTATTTCTCATTATGTTTAGCTCATAACCCGTATTCTACGTATACTCAGTCCATGCTTTCTTTATTGCCCTTCAGGTACATGGTCTGCTACGATGAACAAAAACCTTTTATCATACAGCTATTGTTATGTTTACCGTCTGATTAATCCTAACCACCAAAAAGTGCGTCCTGGTTTGAAATCCGAATGAAACCTACTTCTAGCTTGAATACTGTCATTGCTGCGTGTTAACCGAATAAATCGGCAGGCACCGCCTGTCATAGTAAGTGAATTCTGCACCCTATGCAATCCTACGGCCCCTCTAAAAGAAATTTGAATATCTAGGTGTACGGCGGGGCAAATCCCAACTGTGATTCTCATCTGTTGTTACGCCGTACGAATTTGCGTCGCTTTTATTGTAGTTGTAGCGATGGCGGCTATTATCGTTACAGGCCTAAACGGTGTCCTAGTCGCTGATTCGTTGGTCCAACAGCAGAAACAATACTGGCTTTAATAGTAACTGGTAGAAAACATTAGCCTCTTCCCTAATTCAGTTCCATTACCACCGCCGCTACCAGTAAGCGATTTGCTGCCGGCTTCAGCAGGAAACAGAATTGTGCCGGCATAAATTCAGCGTGTCAAACACATTCAGGGTAGTTCCAGCTGAGCGGCAGACTCGTCCTAACATAAAAATCATCCTCTTTTACCAGTCCCAGATAGCCATACTCCAGCGAATGTGACATCCGTGGCCATTGCGGCCCACTTTGACTTCGCTGTACCTAAGCCGACGATGTAGATGCACAGTTATCGAAACGTTCTAGCGCCACTGTTGTACATTGGCATCCGCCAGCGACTTTTAGCGTTGAGAATTTTGCTCGTTTCTACCTTTTCCATCGCAGCAAAAGTCATCGATGTTGCCGGCGCGACAAAGTCGGCAACCCAGACATCCCATACAGTCCCTTGTCACGCTTCGGGATTTCTCATATATATGCTAAGCAGTGAAGTTAACCTTGTGACGCCCTGGATCCCTGTTCTCTGCGCAGACTCTAAGATCCGACTGAGCTATGGCAGGTTAGGTCATAACCTGTGGTAAGAGAATGCAGGTAGAATATCTGAATAAAATTATACGAAAAAATAGCGGCGCTTAGATGGGTGCATGAGTGTTAGAGAGTAGCATGAGTGACCAGTAGACCAGGCGTCGTCAGGCAAAACGTAAGGACGCTTGCTTTTGTTCGAATTGTTGCTGTGCGAATGAACGCTTTTAAGCGAAACTGTGAAGGCCTTGCAGGACATTACTGAGCTACCTTAGATTTGAATTTGTTTATGCTAAATATGCATAAGGGATCATGTAGAGCTAACAGTAGTATCAAATATATAGTTTATTGGCTAAATTATTTCATTTTATTCCATTAACGACGACCAAGGTTTCATAGGTGTCAGTTCCCAATTAAAGCTGCCTGTCGTATTCACAGACACTTGCTAACGACGTTAAAAATTGTGTATTAACAGTAGTTTACCAGAAAAACATCACTGGTAATAGATAGAAAAAATCGAGAAAACTCATTTTATTGACGTTTCTACCACTTGAGAAGTAAAAAAATAAATCAATAAATGCATCCTTCCCCTAATTATCAATGTTGACAGAATAGTAATTTTAACGAAATAAATTTGCTGATTATTCAACAATGTAGAGTTTGATAAGCCCCTACCGTCTGCTAGCTACGACTAGTTGTGGCAACGTTACGGAAAACTTCATAAAAAGAAAATGGTAGTTAGCGAAGTTGTATTCAGACCTGCACTAGGATCCACACAGAAGAAGAGAGCTAGAAGAGAATTACGTGGTTATTAATTATCATTGCCATAATGATGAGCGTATTTCGGGCGTATCGGCAGTTTCCATCTTTCCTATAACATCGTATATTTTATTTGGAGGAAAATTATCCGCAGTAGCTGAATACTTAGACGTTATAGCTCAAGCGACAAATCATATCAATACGTTTCATAGAATTTTAATATGAAAAGGATGCAAATTTCAATTCATAAATATATATACATTATATTGGCACTCTTGCCATAATCAATGCATTTTTGGGAAATAAATTTCTACACAGTTAATCACTGCTTAGTATGTTAATTCTATTTACTACTCGACTGAAGGACCCACAGTGCTTCAAGCACAAAGACAGGCCTACGGCCATTGTGTAAGGCTTGATATCGAAGGCTTGACTTGAGATCGAAACGTGTTATTTCGACAACAATCTCGCCAACAAAAGCTTCTACATAATAACTCTCAGCTAGCTAATTGCGTCTGCAATAAAGCTTTGTGCAATAGACACGCACACTCGTTGGTTTTTGAAGCGTATCCCAGTCATGTTATTGGCTAAAAAGCTCAGATGTCTCGGTAATTTTCACAAAACCACACTCACGATTCATTCTCTTCTAAGCAGAATAGGTCCATGAGTACGGATCTAACAGAGACAAGCGGGACACAATATTTTTTCTTATTTAAGAAAAAAAAATGTCTTAACTGAACTATTCAGCCACTATTTCGTAGAACGAATGAAACAGTGGTGCCTTATAGTATGACTATTACAATCACAGACTCTGCTGAGTGAGGCCTTTCGAGATAAAGCTTGACTAGCTCTAGTAGAAGGGATGATTTTTAAGCGCTTTGCATCGGGAATATGGCGGCACAATGAGTAATAGAGTAAGTAATTTGCTGTTGAAACAAATCATGTCCCGACAGTGGATTATGGCATAACTTAATAGACCGGAAGACCTATTTGGTGTTAACTTTTTCAGTTAAAAAAAGAAAGCGCTGTACATCAGCTCTCGGGGCATACATTTCCAGTTTTCAAGGAAAGTTTCCTTATTTAGTCTTATTTCTCGTATGGTGTATATCGCTGGCAGGGCTTGAACCGGCGATCCTCATCTCAAGGCAACCTACAAAGGGCCTCTTGATAAGACAAGAAAATAACGAAGGCCACCTTCGAAATTATTTGACCCCTAGACTTTCCCTTAATCTTACAGCATACATGTAGCGCTACTAGGTCTTTACTGAAAACGCTCTATCCGACTCTCTAGTCGATTTTTACTGAACAACAAAAATTTTCTCTACAGAACTTGGGAAGTGATCGTTATATCATGCTTCAGCAAAGGATCATTACCAGAGCTCTGTATGTAAAAATTAGAAACAGGCTAATATTGGAGAATCACAAATCGCATTAGGTTCTTCCCGTCTGTCCTTCCTTGCGCAAGCTCTCACGATGTAATTACACTCTCTACGAGTAGAATATCCGTACAAGTAGTAACAAGACAGAACGCAATCGAAAAAGGTGACTTGGGGCAGTACATAGCCAATTTCGGATTACGTCTTAAAACTAACTTATTCCCCTTCGTTCTATATCTATCAGGGCTAACCTTACGACCGCTGGGGAGGAGAACAGGACGTAGTTGCTTAATCTGTGTGAGAAACATCGGCAGAAGGAGTTGAGCTCTGTCAATTCCCGCCGGTCTCATTACGTTATTACACAGTTAATTACATCAACATTGCCAAATTGGAATTGTTAGAAGGAATCTTCGGTGGATTGTTAACCGACGGAATCCAACAAGTTCCAGCTGACAGTAGACTCCAGCGCTAAAGATAGCGGAATAGTTTACGCAACCTATTACTCGAGAACCTGCGAACATTTGCGAAGTAAGCTTCTATTAATCTTTTAATAATTCGAGATTTCACAATGTGCCAAAGCTGCCTGTGCTACTAGTTATATATATATATATATATAATTGTACGAACACCTACGGTAACACTAAGCCATGAGTGAAATAGCGGCTTTTGTGGGTTACGAATTATTAATTTAATTAGCTGAGACAAGTTGTGAGCTATCTAATAAGAGATTGACGTTCTTGACTATTAGTTACTTTGTGGCTAGTACAGGAGTTCGGTGTTTTTGGTACTTGCAAATTACAGAATATTCGATTATTCAACTTAGCTTCCTATATTTCCCTATCTATATTAATACCTGTTTGGTTTCTCACCTTTCCAGCTTAAAGGTTCGACATTCTCAAATAGCAGCTTATAGGGGTTCGCTTTGAAAGGGCGCACGGCCCCTTTTTGTTCGTCATAGGAGATGGCGCAATGATGCATTGTCTCAGTATTGAGTTATCTTGGAACGACGGTTTGTTTGGCTTTCGCTTTAGCTCATCCCAGAATTTACCTGCCTTTTTGGTACGACCGACAGAAGAACTCAGCGGAGGTTTGCTCCTGAAAAAGAATTACGGAAGAGATGACGCTGCCTAGTACGCTCCCCCAGGGGACCAAATGACAACACACGTGGATAACGTTTTAAACTCTTTGCGTCCTGTTGGGTCAAAACGCTCTGTAGTTGAACGTTCCTACGGAAAAGCATTGGCGTCCTCTAATGCCCGAGAAACCGATGAGGACTCTGGACTGCTCCAGGCAACTGTTTGTCAACAACAACAACAAACGCTGAGCTTTGTTAGACCTCTAAAACAGATAGGTCCTAAATTTTTTTTCCGAGTACATTATTGCTAGCGAAATGCGCTATATACTTTGTATTATATGGCAGAAAGCACTGTCCAGATTATACTCAGTTAGCTATTGTAGAAATGTTGTAGTATGAAAAGTCGCGGCAGGACAGCTAGGCCAACAACCGCAATTTTTTTCTTTATTGTATCATTTCACTAGGACACGATGCAACAGCATCTTCTAGGTCATTTCTTTTGGGAATAGCATTACTTTAGTAGTAGTTTTAGGAAAACATGGAAAAAGCGATTGAAACCATTTACCTCAATGGCTAAAATGTCTAGAAGATGGTCCATTGCAATTAATAACTAACAGCGAGAGACTTCTATACACGTATTATCTGTTTGTCTCGTTAAACATCCATTATACGCACGCGTCCCACTTTAATATCACAAGCAGTAGTAACTCATCACTAAACATCAATACAAGCAAGGTTTTTTGACTAAAAACTACTATTATCGTCGTATCATAGGGCTCCAAAAAACATACCATTTAACGCGTCGCGTGCTAATGAATGAATCCACGGTGATCCGTTTTGTATGTCAACTAATACCTACCTCTACATACTAGTAGGATAGGTTACTTTACTGTGTAACGTTTGCCTACGGATCTAAACTAGCTGATCACTTGACTTTTTAAAGAAACATCAGTTTCTCCTATTCGATCGCTCCCTCCACATCCGTCAATTATTCGTTGCAACCTTTACCTCTTATTTCACTTCGTCCACCTCTAAATTGATGTACAACTACTCTGTCCATTTAGAAACTATTAATTGATTCTGGCTTCGCCATCGCCCGTCTATGCTTCCTGTTTTGCCACCCTCCGGCTGCCATTGATCCTGCAACATCCGACCCAGCTGTGGGTGCAATCACGCGATTCACCTGTCACCGACCTAAAAGGTTATGGATTGACAGACTTTGCTTTTTGCGTCCCTCGCCTTTTCACGGCACCAACAGTTGAGTCGGATCTCTTACTGCTGTATGGTCTCCGTTTCAGCGTACCCAAACATAAGTGCTACCATCCTAGCCTTTAGTCGTCAGTATAATCTACACGACCATTGGTATCACCGCTAGAGGAATACTACCTAACTTTTTCGTCCGCCGAGGAGCACCGGTCAACACGGGTTGTTATTACTTTCGGCGGGTAGCCCGCCGATTCGTTGTTTGGAACTGACTTCACTCCACCTCAGCTAGCCTACAGCTAGACATAAATAAATTAGATATTGTACAGGTGGATATACAGCCAGGTATTGTAGATGAACTCGCGTTTTGGAGGTGGATATCTATATTTAGGAAGACGGCTGAGGTAGCTTGTCTTCGGAAGAAGCGGCGTGAGTGGTTGTGGTCGCCTCCGATCGTTGAAGAGGCGAAAGTGGCAGGTCACGCGAGAGCGACTAGGACGAATCGACGAACGGAAACCCACGAAATGGCTGGCTTCCGAAGCAGCAGAAAAACAGAAGATAAACGGAAGTCTCTGAAGAAGCAGGGTGTGTGTGGGGTTTTCAAGTGACGCCCATTTTGGCCATCTCCGGCTGTCAAACTACTAGCCCATAGCGACCACAAGTTCTAACGGTACTCTGAAGCAGCACTCCTGCGAGGCAACACCTTTCTCAGACAAGTCTGCTCTGGACTCACCGAATTCGGTCGACGAGAAATGGAGGAGAACGTAGTACGCTGACCACCACTGATCTTTCTTTAGGGTGTGGGTGGCAGCGGCCCTTTGAAAGGTGTAGTGGAGCGCAGCAGCGAATATGTTTGCTAGGGGGCAAGTAATCAATCATTGCAAGAAGAACAGATAGGGCAAAGAGAGACATCCTGAGTAGCAAAGGGGGAGGGGGGAGGTCCAAATGTCGGGGCCAGGTTGAACCATCAGGAAATTCATTTTGTGTGTAGCAGCGGCTTCGACTAGGTGCAATATGGATGAGCGAGGACACGGGCTGTATTTATGGCATAGCCAAGTGGAATGAGTGCCTCTATGAAAAGCCAAAGACATGGGGGTACATGAAGCACCCACGTGCAGTTAAGAAGAAAGCCGATCCAGAAGCTTTGAGCACTCATATTAGATTTGCAATCTGTGGCAGAATCATTTGTATAAATTTCACGAAACACTAAAATAAATGTTTCGAGTTTCACATGCGCCGTTGACCTTAAGTATTGCATATCATTACTACCATCACCGCTCTGTTTAGAGATAACTGATTATTTTTTTGCTCGTCTTTTCGCTTTATGCTAAATCCACGCATTTTGTCTGTGCTTGATTCAAAAACAGGCTTCGGAAATGCTATGTCTCTGTTAGTAGAACGCAGTGAAGGCTTTTCTCTTAAGAGTACGAGCGAAAGTTGTCAGAATCGACGGATGTAAGTTTGGCACCAATAGATTTGGCTTCTTCTGTCGTCAACCGTCCTCTCGTATTAAATTTGAACGTTAGTTCTCATATCGTACATGCAAAGTGTGCCTGGGTGGAACGCCCACAGTTGTATAATTAACGAGAATGCGTGTTTAAAAAAGAGCACATAATACAAAATCATTATTTCAGAGGGCGCGCAGTTAGTTAAGAAAAGCAGGCACTCCTCTTAGCAATTTTTACGAGGCGTATTCTAACTTTTGCGTTTGCGGGTTAACAATAACTTCCAGTCTGTATAGAGTTTACTACCCCAAATTTTTCAACTATTTTATTAGAATTTTATTTCAAGATTTTATCCATAGGCTCTCATAGCGCTTTTCACCGTCCAGCGACCTTTAAGTTAGATGTTCGCATCTTTTCTCAGTGCTCTTTTTCAGACCTCTGTGAACATTAGTCAAGTATGTTCTACCTGAGTAAGATCTCATGTGGCGTGAGTCAACGTTGAAGCTACGACCTGGTCACGCCTTCTTTAGAGACGCAGTGTTAAATTTAATCATTAATTGAATAACAGCATTATGCCCATGAAATCAAATCATTCCGCCACTCCCTCGTAGTACACCGTATATTTGAATGAGCAGCGTCGTTATGGCTAAGCTAGCTCTTCGCGTGCGGCCTATCAAACAAGGTAGTTTCTTGAATTCCTCCAATCGTGACGCAACTGCTGTAGCGTCGTCTGCCATTTGTTTGTCTCACTGTTTGTTAAGAACTCGTGGCGCACATACATTTCGTTATCTATTGGCGAAATTACTTAATTATTGGTTAAATTAATCTAATACAATTAAATTACTTAATTAAAAAATGGAAAAAAAACAACAGTCGGAATTGGCACAGCACAACTACGGCACTTTGACGCACCGTGAAAATCGAGGTGTTTCAACCCACTGGGCATGAATACTGCAGTGCAATGTACACCCAGTAGTTGATCCACGGTCGCGTTTGGTATCGCGCTTAATATCCTCTTCAAAATAGTCTAAAGGGTTTCTATGCTGGTAGCAGTTAACTGACGCTTTGTCCAGTGTGGCCCGATTGTCTAGTATCTTTTAATTATAAAAAAAATAATGAACTACTTTTTTCTCAACTATCAGCCATTTCTACACGGCCAGGCGACACGCACATATTAAGTAAGAAACACCTTGTCACGTCATGCATGGTGAACTATCACCCAACCCTACACGGTGCAAACGTGTGTCATACAGCCAAAGCAAGTAAGAATTAGCGTGGTTATGAACTCAGTGACTAGTTCTAAACCAATGATTTAAACAAACTACCAGATGTCTTTGTTCCACTTGATATTTCTATTTTTTTTCTTTTTGCAAAAAAGCACGAGTCGTTACCTTGGAAGCATCCGTTTTGTTCTATCGCGAAGTGTTCCAGTGTTCTAGGGACGCACACACAAACGTGGGCTACTATCGAATGAGGTCGATGTAATTATATGTAGGGTTTCGCGGCAAAGCTTTCGGTATTGTCTCCGGCAGTGCAGTGTACAGCAGGTGGATAGGCAGACGGAAAGACAAACAACGAAGCCTCGAAAATAGGCGACTACTGCCAAAAAAAGTCAACTCTTTCAACTTAAATATTTTTTACGGGGGTGCGCAGAAACTTTTTTACCGCGCCCTCCGTTTAAGTAAAAAAGCTTACGCAGGAAAGGTGTTGTTTCATAATCTAGTTCTAGTCAAACTCCTAACCATCGAGTTATTTGTTTTTTTCTCACAAATTAGGATATCAAAAGCCGTTTAGCTTGCGGGTATAAAAAGGACAACAAAGTCTTGCACCACGAAACGTAAAAATGATGTTTTCTGTAGTTCTCACCACGCTCACGGCTGACTCTGCATCAAGTTCGAATAGGGAAGACCCATGCATATTCCAACACAGATGCCCTGGCGGCAACTCCTTTACATTTTCTTCCTTTCTGCTCCCTTCCTTCGCCAACAGATACGAATAGAGATCATCCTCCTGAACAGGAGGATGGAAAGAAGACTGCTAAGATTTAAGGGTGGATCGCTGTGTCAGCACAAACTTTCAGGCTGCTAAGGTCGCTTCAGATGCGTTCAGTTTAACATTTCCTATTACGGGAATCGCATGTTCTGTGGAGTAACTGCGCGTAATTAAACGACAGCCTTCTCATATGTTTCAAGAAAGAGATGGTCTATGGACAAGTAATGAAAAAGGGGTTGTTTTTGAAAAATATAATCGGTGGTCTGTGCTGTTAAGTCGATTAAGTGTAGTTAAATTGTATAGGCGATGATACCCACCACAGAGCATACTAGTTTTAATGTCTCATTGGAATATATTTCTCGTGAAGTCTTCGCGCTTTTCGGCCAATAACTTTTAAAGATATTATTCACTATACTTAAAAGAAAGTAGATTATATATA